CAGTGTGGCCAGATATAGTGTATGCTCGAAGTCTAGGACAAGGTGTGCATGTGGGAAGACGTGACTACGCAAAGAGAGAGAGAGAGAGAGAGAGATAAAGAAATCCACGCCGGATGCGGCTTCGCTACCGCTCATTTGTACGCGAACGGTATTTCACGCCGATGCGTATAGCCATACGCTTCTGTGAGGAATAGCGGATTTCATGCAGCTGCGGTTACCTCCCATGTCGACACTTCTAGCAATCGGACAAGGCTGACCTTAACTTATCTCGTTGGGTGGGGTGGAGCAGGTTTGCTGCTCATTATGATACCGACTGTAGCCCTCTCCGCCTTATCCCTTCTATATCGTATATTAAACTTCACAACTCGCCATCGGCATACGCAGTAGTCTTCTCCCCCCCACCCCTTCCCCCCCATGGCTGACCACTTGTAAGCCCGGCAAGATGTTGAGCGAACTATAGTTCCGTGGACGTCTGAGGAGAAGACCGTTCATTCTCTTGAGCTGATCAACTTTGTGCGCGTGGGCAGGAAAAGTCGATCGCGAGTTCCGACTGCCTATCTCTACTGTCCGGAACGCTTGCCGGTCGTGCGGCTAACGCATTGAAAGTATTCGAACGAAACGGATTCGTTTGAAGCAGGGTTTCGTAGGAAGCTGGACGCATGGAGTGGCTGTTTCGAATCTTCCCTACAATCCATTGCAAAAATGATGTCATGTTGCACCTTTCTTTCTTTCTATCTTCTTTTCTTTCTTTCTTTGCTTCTTTCTTTCTTTCCTTCTTTCTTTCTTTTCTTCCTTCTTTCTTTCTTTCTTTTCTTTCTTTTTTCTTACTTTCTCTCTTTGTTTGTTTGTTTCTTTCTTTATTCGCTTGTTTAGTTGTTTGTTTCGGGGTTTATTGCTGTGCTAAGCTTCAAGGTCGAATTGACCGCTTTTATTAATTAATTTATTTATTCATTCATTTATTTGATCTACTATGACCGCCATTCGACTCATTCCTCCCGGCTCCACATTGGTTTCGCGCGTGTTATTTATTTTTGTGTTTGCATAGGTCCAGTTGCAGTACGGAACAGACGCGCAAGATTCATTTCAAGCATATGGACTACTCCATTTTGACGATGCAGAGGCGCATAGACCCGCCTTGACTTGATTACGACGTCCCATGAGTTTTACACCCAAAGGGCGTATAGCCGTTGCGGTTGCTGTCACGTGGACGCCGTAGCCGTTCCCTGGCGTCACTCTGTGATCGCTGCAGCTCGCGAAGATGGGGTCTCGGCGAAAACCACGCCGCAGCAGTCCGTCGATTCAAGATCATCAAAGCTATGTGATGTCTACCTGCTTCCCTTAAATGCGTACTGAGCGGTACAATGGCGTCATAACGACCTAAAGTGGCATGATTCCGTATGCATTCGCCGATTGCTTGATCGATTGATTGCCTCCTTTCAACTTGGCGCAAATCACCTTGAGTGGTTGATTGGGCGAGTGTTATTCATGGTAGTTTGAAATACGAGCGCGATACGTAGACGGGAAAGACACGGAGAAGCGCTTTGTCCCTGTCTTTCCTTTCCCTGTCTATACGTATCGCCTCGAAGCACCTTGGGGGATCGGCCATAAAACGGGAGGTGCTTTGTTATATGAATGAACCGTGCAACTGTAGTCATAAGAGTGGTTATAGCCTTTTTGGAAGCAACTGGACTATATGCGCGGCTATAACATTTTTTTTTTCAGCTGGAAGGGATTGTATATACTCATCTTACTATCTCACCATTGTCATCTATCACTCTTTCTTTCCCCCTTTCCCTTCCCCCCGTGTAGAGTAACAGGCTAGAGCAGGCTATTGCTCAGGCCGACCTCTCTGCCGTTCTTTAAATAAACCTGTCTCTTTTGTTTGTAATCTCGAAATCATAAGCAATAGATAGTTTTAAATAACGCGATAAAATAATTCATGACAATAACGAAGAAAAAAAGAAAGAAAAATTGACTAAAATATTGCACGCTACTTTCTGTCATGTTCTCGTATTAGAACTTGACTTCTAATCACTCCTCTTGCGAAAATAGGCTTAACCTTATCGGAGGAAAATATTTTAAGCTTCGGTGCCTCAAGCTTGGGATATTGCCACAGGGATGCCTTTGATGCCGTGTGTAATTTCATTATAGCTACTTGACGAGTATAATTGTAGTAAAATTTTTCGTCAGTGATTTCAACAAGTGAAAACCCTTCTAAGTTTTCATAATTGTGCCCTGCAGGTTAATACGGCAGCCTGATATACAAGCTCGAAGGCATAACACCTGTAGTTTAATTTGAATATTTTACGCATTTTTGCCATTTCGTTTTTATTTTTGTTTTTTATGATACATACCTTACCTAAAATAACATTTAACAGTCTCAACGTCGCATTTTTGGCCATTCCCCCAATGTGGAAACGTGCCGTTGATCGAAACAAACAAAGTAATGTTTCTTTAAAAAAATAGGCTCGTTTTCGGTAACTTTAGTATTCAATACCCGAAATGCGCTCGAAAGCGAAAGCCGTCTTCTTCTAGGGGTGCATGCAAGGTAGCCACTACACGCCATTACGATGATGAGCGCGCTGATGACGATGAGCGTTATGACTATGATGATCACAGAAGAGTTGTGTGCCGGCATACCACGAACTATAGGTCGAGAGCCTGCTGATTTTGGATCTACCGAGGCGTCCGCATACGCAGATCCACGCGCTGGCCAGCACGTGCTACAAGCGCAGAAGGTCTAAGCTCAGGTCCAGGGGTTCAGCGTGCACGGACCTCGTCTTCGCTAACTTCAGGCTAGATGCGATATACCACAAAACAGTATTGCAATGAAGGCGAAACGAAATTCACAACTCAGCACAACATACCAGTTGGGACTAGTAAATAGTGTATATAACTCTTCACCACTTCGATGCGTGAGTGGCATGGATGATTTACGGGGACACCGAATGGCCCCTCTGCTTCGCCCACTCATCATCATTCTCTTCCTGGATATCCTGCGATTTTGTTTTTCCTGTCTCCCATCGTACTGGGAAAGAGAGTTCAGAAAGACAAAGCGTTTCTGAATGGTTGAGGTGCTATAGTAATCTAAGTCGGCAATGAAATAGCACACGCTTGATTGTTGCAATGAAAGTTCTGCGTCTCTCTATACTTGACATCGCCGCCGGCAGATGCATCCGCAGATCCGGCCGCTCACATTGGCGGCTCTGGTGATACACTGTGATTCGCAAATCACTAGTTTACGGAGAAACTGAAGCTAAATAGCTTGCAGAGTCGCCCTTACGCATTCGCCTATTACGACACGAACACGAAAGCCGTCTTAGTTAGTCTTCTCAGTCGATGTGTTGGTCCTCCCCACCGAAAGCTTTCTGCACTTGACGTTGTTCTTCACTGCTTCCGCGACCGGCCCACGTTTGACCAAGCGACTACGTCTTCATGTGACGGCACGTCATCGCGTCGTCATGTGGCGACAGGTTATCGACATCAGAGCGATGTCGTGATGAAGTCGTATAATTTAACACACTGCGGTTACATAATCTCGTGATGATTTCTCGCAACGCCCGCGTTCACTGAATTGTCAAGATTCGCGCCTTATGAGGTATTCGATATCTCTAATAATTATCGGGTTTTAACGTTCCGAAACCACCATGATTGATTGATTTGTGGGGTTTAACGTCCCAAAACCACCATTTGATTATGAGAGACGCCGTAACCGAAACCACCATGAGAGACGCCTTACTGGAGGGCCCCGGAAATTTTGACCACCTGGGACTGTTTAACGTGCGCCCAAATCGGAATGCAGGAACCTCGAACATTTCCGCCTCCATCGAAAAAAAAAACAGCCGACGGGGCCGGGATTCGATCCCGCGACCTTCGGGTCAGCTGTCGTGTACCTTAACCGCTGGACCATGCACCGGGGCTGGTATATAAATGAGGCATCCAAGGCTATTTGCTATAATCTGTATACATTTTTACGTCGCTTATTTGGTGTTTTACCGGGCTATAGATATCAAGCACTGCTGCGTATTGTCGTTTCAGCCCCATCTCCTCACAGTAATTAGCTGGCAGATATCTCCCCAATGCCGTTTACCGCGTGCTTACTGGAGGTTTTCAGAAACCTAGAATGGGAACAGTTAGGGATAAGAGTTAATTGAAAGTGCCTTAGTAACCTGCGCTTCGCCGATGACGTTGCATTGCTGAGTAACTCAGGGGACGAATTGCAACTCATGATTACGGAGTTAGACAAGGAGAGCAGAAAGGTGGGTCTTAAAATAATCTGCAGAAAACGAAAGTAATGTACAACAACCTCGGAAAGGAGCAGCGCTTCGAGATAGCTAATAGTGCACTTGAAGTTGTAAAAGACTATGTATACTTAGGGCACGTGATAACCGCGGAGCCAAACCATGAGATTGAAGTGACTAGAAGAATAAAAATGGGGTGGACCACATTTCGCAAGCACTCTCAGACTATGACAGGTAGATTGCCACTATCCCTCAAGAGCAAGGTATATAACAGCTGTATCTTGCCGGTACTTGGCTACGGAGGAGAAACCTGGACACTTACAAAGAGGGTTCAGCTTAAATTGAGGACGACGCAGCGAGCAGTGGAAAGAAAAATGGTAGGTGTAACCTTAAGAGACAAGAAGAGAGCAGAGTGGATTAGGGGATAAACGGGGGTTAAAGATATCATAGTTGAAATAAAGAAGAGGAAATGGACATGGGCCGGGCATGTAGCGCGTAGACAGGATAACCGCTGGTCGTTAAGGGTAACTGACTGGATTCCCAGAGAAGGCAAGCGGGTTAGGGGGATACAGAAGGTTAGGTGGACAGACGAGATTAAGAAGTTTGCGGGTATAAATTGGCAGCAGCAAGCACAGGACCGGGTTAACTGGCGGAACATGGGAGAGGCCTTTGTCCTGCAGTGGACGTATAGTGATGCTGATGATGATGGTGATGACGACGTCGCAAAACTCATTCTCTCTGTTAATCTCTCTTTGCCAGGTCGTGTCCGCCACAGACGAGAGAGCCGACGTGGACATCGATGTGGACGACGACGGCCGTGCGCGACACCAGAGTGAGTGGCCTCCGTAATCCTCGGCTCAGTATGAGGCTCATCCGGGATCATACCGAGCCGAGGATGCGTGAAGGCACGCCCGCCGCTTTCATCTTTTGCTTCGTGTCACAAGGCCCGTTACATTTGGTCACTAAAATCGTTTACGGCGAAACCTCATGATAACAAAGTAACACAATGACCATAAAGTAGTTCGTTATCTGCGATATTCGTCGTAACAGTATAAGTGTAAATCTGCTCTCACTAACCCGCAATTCGGCCAGCGCACTTATCCTATACAGAAGCTTGTATTCTAGGTTGCGAGTCCCGTATAAACTAGGTTATCCTCTATTGTCTTCTTGTGTTATTTCAGACGATATAGACCGAGACACGAAAAGAAATTAACTAGAAGGAAGCTCGTTGACGACAAGAGAGGCCTGCTTTGATATAAGCCAGAACAAGGATTTTGCTGTAAATGTGATGAAAAAGGTCGGCTTCAATTGTCTTTCAATATTTATTCCGATTTTTAAGCCATCACCTTCCGAACGTTTAGCCTTGTACAAACCAAGCACTTTTTTGTTACAACCGATATTGCGACGTCTGTCGCGTTTTCGCTTTTGTTTACAGAAACAGTAATTGTCACTGAAATAAAGCCCGACGCAGTAAATTTCCCATTTAGTTATATGATTCGCTAATCAATGTTCGTCAGGAACACCGATATAGCTGAACGAAGTTCAGCTGTATAATCGTATTACAAGCAAATAAAAGCACTTCGAAGCCCTTCTGATCGGGACGGGCTTCCGTTGGGCTTTTTCGTCGTTGTTTGTGCATTATTCCAAATTTTCGTTTTGGTTGGCACAGTTCTTCGGGTTTTGTACATTCATCATATTAGTAGTTTCAAGTGTGACATATTTCATGAATAAATGAGGGCTTCTTTCTTTGTTTGACGCAACCTTAATGAAGAAAACCAGTGGAGAATGAAGCCGTGAAAATTGGGGGGGGGGGACTTTTATTGTACTCGTTGAAGGGTATTGTAGTAATTGGGATATAGACGTGAAGACAGCAAACGTGGGCGATAACTGCGACCTTTGAGTAACGCGACCGATGCTCTTATCAAGTCAACTACGGCGGTGGTGGTCCGCTCGTCCACATTATCGGCTATTTACGTTGATGAAACCTGGCAGTCCTAGTCGCCCTTAGACATGACGGCGAGTGTGGATCACTCTTCTTTTTAGCCAGATGGCGTCACGTACCACGCGAACGTTTAACGAGAGGGCAGCTGACCGATAAGCCCTCGCGTACCACCTGAAGGCTCACGTGATGGGTGGATCATTGACGAGGATTAGATGGCGTACTCGGTTCGAGAATTTCATTCGGTGATATAGCTTCTGGAAGTAAGGTAAATTACGATATGGCTGTGACCCATGAGGCTCGTGATAGCGGGGGACTCCTGATTTTGACAACGAATCAAAGTTCCTGTATTTTCGTCGCTATTCAAATGCGGCCACCATGACATGGGAAATCGAGCCCGCATCCTTGAGCCTATATAGTGGCACATTTTAGTTAATCTCTTAATCTAGGAATTGAGTGTCTTGAGTAGCCGCATCTGAGCGGGATTATTTCTATTTTGTTTGTGTTTGTGGTCCTGAGGACCTCAATAAAGTTCTGTGTCTGTCTGTCTGTTTTATTTTATCTTCTTTATATTTTGTCCCTGTTGTAGTCATTTGCGTACCTACGCACCACATTTCAGTCGAAGATTCTTGCGCATAGTTCACTGCATGATATATTGTTGTGACGGTTTTTTACGCCTAGTTTCGTTTTTATTATAGTCACCATACGTCCTGTGGCCATGCGGATAATGTATGGCTGCGGCGATACCTTTCAGTGAGTGTTCAGAGTTTCAGTTCAGAGTTATTACAAGTGCGTCGTGTCGTTTATTTCGCTTCATTTCTTTTAAGTGCTAACTATACTTGATAAAATGATGTGACCCTTCACGGTGGCCTGTCGTGCCCTATACTGCTGACCGCATCGAATTCCGGTTCGCGCGGGCTGCATTTAGATGGAGGTTAAATGCGGAGATCCTGCTACTTAGATTTCGATGCATGTTGAAGAACACCTATGTAGTCGAAACTTCCCGAGCACTCCAGTTCGGTGATGTTCATATTGGTATCGGGGTTTTGGGATGCTGAACCCCAGGTATTATGGTTCTGCTTAAAGACCAAAGAACGCACGCGCTTGTACACTTGCTGAGTAAAAAAAAAGTTACACCATCTCCCGATAAAGGGAACCACGTGTAGATGTGAATCAGCGGACGCTAACCCTTTCATTGAAGGCGGCGTTGACGCTGGCATTCCTCCCGGCGTTTCGTAGGAGAGAAACCCCGGGGAGGTTCAAACCACGCAGTGATGGATTGGTGTTTACCTACTGGAACATGCCAATCGCTGGTAATGGGCAATGAGAGACGGAAGAATCTGATTGGACACAGTGACCCGCAGTCCGCTTTCAATTAATGTACCCGTTGCGAATTTTTATTGTTCAAGAATGCATAAACATCGTGCACCGAGACTCCCTTGAAGGTCAGGACCTGGTGCATATATATACGGGGTGGCGAGTTAATGGTTGTGCAGCGCGAGCAGTCAGGTTTTTTCAATCAAGAAACTCGCTAGCAGACGCTGCTTGCGTCGGCGTTGCCAGAAAAGAGAAAGGGGGAGCTAGGAGAGGACCGAGGGGGAGGGGCGCGCATGCGCAGTAAGGGTGGTCACGCCGCACACCGGATTGAGCTCGACCATACAGTGTTTCGCATCTAATAAACATAGAACACCGTGCATGCTGTAGCGGAGGTGTTCGGGTTATTTTAACACCTGAAACGTTATTTTATCACCTGAAACGTTATAATGCGGACTCAAATCCGAGTTCGCGGGTGCGTTTGCATTTTGCGACTATCTGAGTGCGGCTGCCGCGACGTCGAACTCGGTAATCCAGCTTTATAGCCATTATAGGCTAATACAAAAAAGCAAATGAGAGGCTGTTCACTAGAGTAATATTTGCTGTTTGGCGATGTGGTCGTGGTTCGCATATGACACTTAAGCGATAAGAAGGAATTTGTAGTGTGGTGCCGTGGGAGGTGTCATTGAAGCGTCAATCTATCTCTTTCCATACTATAGTAGTGTGACATGTCGAGCTAGTGGGGTGTATAGGTCTTGTACCTCGCGTAGTGGAATATGGCACAGAGAGTGAACTGGACAATTCAGGAGAAAACACAGTGTGCGTTTAAATGTGACCTGTCCCATTGCTATAACACTTTGACCTTTAAAGGGACTGAGAACCAGCCTGAGTGTGTCACAAAACACGCGTGTAAGTGCCAAGTATGTGAATTTCGGTGATAAACAGAATCGATCATTTTTTTGTGTGTGTGCCATCAGTATTAAACATCTCTAAAACGGTTGTCACATTACGTTTTTGATTAGGTCACTATTGGAGCAAATCGTTGGCACCATAATTGAATCGGAACGCCCCTTATTAACGGAGCTACGAGTAAAAAAAATAGGTACCTACCTCCTCCGCCCCGTCTTTCACCCCAACTACCCCAACTGTTCCTTCGAGTGCTCAAGGCTGATCTCCGCCTTCACGGGGCCTGTGCCGCGCGTGCCACAACCAATCTGATCAGCAGCCACGGTGGCATCAAGTGAGCAGAGCATGTCGCTTTGTGAATAGGTGGGTGAAAGCGCGTCTGGCCGAGTAGCAGCAATCTGCAGCGCTTTACCGCTTTGAAGCGTTTTAATGAATTACAGAGTTTAGGCAGATTACTCAAATTAGTTTGTAAATGACCCTTGGGACTTGGTCTAGCGGTCCAATGGGTTTGTGCAAAATTGTTAAAATTGTTTCTAGGTCCCTTTAAATAGCGTTTGAAAGTTGCGAAAACCATCCGCAATGGTCCTCTACTGCATGGTGACCACCAGGTCGTTGGATTGAATCGTGGCCTGGGCGGCCACCTTTTTCATGAAGGCGGTTCATGATTGGTTCATTATGTCCGTAACAATTCACAACGGAACCCGACTCAGATCTTTTTTTTTTTTTTTCGTAGAGCGTGGAGCTATTGCGTCTGGTCGTATTTACGCCGTATAGTTCTGGCGAGTGAACCAGCAGGCACTTCATGGCAGTTCGGTGACGCGTTCGACAAGCCGAGAGAAATTCGTGGCTCTTTTTCTGAGTGTTCAATGCGCAAACACACCTAATATTTCGCTCACTTGTTGTTTCGCTCGTGCTAGTTGCGCCTGGTTGCGCCGCAAACTCTGCACGGTCTGCACAGGAGTCGGGCTTTGCACTACCCAAAACTGTGCCGACAGGGGTCGCTACGTGTCTGTTATAAACTCCAGAGTCAGACGTTTACCTGGCAGACCGCTCAGATGTTGGTGCTGTAGATCTTGGGATATATTAGATCTTGGGATATATTCGGTGATATAGCAGAGGATTAGGATAAGTACTCGCTGGCAGCTGTCGCCAGGTAACTGCTTGGGCTCTGCATTAAATTCCACGAGGCGGAGGACAGCATCGGTGGGCCAAATGGTCAGTTCATTGTATCCCATTCTTCAACAAGGCAATAAAGCCACAGAATTTTTCAGATAGCTACATGATAAGCTGAGAAAACCGGTAGTTTTAAGACGCGAAAAACTGATGTGAGAAGGCAAGCTCGAGACTCTTGCCGCCCGCCCCGCGTAGCCTTTGCTAGCCAAATCCCTTCCCCGGTATCGGAGAGAGAAGAACACGTCATGCGCAGGTCGGGGGGAGGGGGGGGGGGGCACTTTGCGAGCCCGAGCATGCCCAAAGCAGCGAGCATTTGTGGGGCGTTGTTTAGCTGACAAGCGTTATCTTGCAGTATATGCCTCTCCGATCATCGGATAGCAACCTTTTGATCGAGCGCGAAAACTGCGACATTTCGCTCGGAAGAGAGTGGCAGCATCATGAGCAAGGGCCGCACTAACGTTTACTTGGACGCGTTAGAATAATTGAGCATAATGAGTGCT